TGCGTGGCTGCATCCAGGTGCCACAAACTGGTTGTACTGGTGAAGAATCCAACAAAATAAATCAGCCTTAAAAGTGAGAAGCAGCAAAAGAACAAAAACGCGGCACGTCTGCTGAAGCACATTTTCAAGAAAACCACGTTTGAAGGAATTCAAGAGAGCTGTGTCGTCTGTGGAGTTTGTTTGTTTTACGAATGTTTTTTAATTGTAAAAGTTACAAATAACAATAGTCACATCAAACTATAACTCATCAAACAGAAACTCGCAGATCGACTGAACATGAAGAGTTGTGCTCACATTTTGCTCCTTTTATTAAAACACCATGTTTTCCCTCTCCAGTCAAATGTATTCTCTGTTTGTGGGAGATCTGACTCCAGAAGTGGACGACGGGATGCTCTACGAGTTCTTTTACAACCGGTACCCGTCCTGCCGGGGCGGGAAAGTGGTGCTCGACAGCATGGGCAACTCTAAGTAAGTATTAATTTATCGCAAGAAAACGTGCACCTGATCCAGAAGTAAAGAGCGTTGAGCAGAACCAACTTCCAGGCCTTTAGGCTCGTACTGAAACATTTCTAACAAGTTCAGTGTGTGTTGATCTTATAGACCACCTAACTTTAACCTGAGACCCAAAGCAGGTTCTTCAGCCTAACATTAACATTTAAAAAAAAAAAACACGGAGCTTAGGAACACACTGAGAGGTTGGATCATCCTTGACTAGACCTTCTCTAGGAGACACGTGATGAACACGAGCTCCATCACTGAGGATGTCCCAAGAGTCGAACTACCAACCTAAAGAGCGTAAAGTTTTCATTGCTTAATAAACTGTAAATCATTGGCTGCACGGTGGATCAGTTGTTATAGCTGTTGCCTCTCAGCGAGAAGGTCACCGATTCAAATCCCAACCAGGGACCTTTCTGGGTGGAGTTTGCATGTTCTCTCTGTGCATGTGTGGGTTTTCATCAGGTGCTCCAGTTTCCTCTCAAACCAAAAACATGCACGTTAGGCTGATTGGTAACTCTAATTGTCTGTAGTTGTGAGTGAGAGAAGGAAGGAAACATTTGAAATATCTAAAGAAAGCAGAAATGAGCAGAAAACAGCTGAAAAGTAGAATTTATTATATTAATATATTGGAAGGAAGAAGCACATTTTTGCTGACAGAGGCTGGAAAGAGTTGAAATGAGAGTAAAAAATGTGGAATTAGCTTTAAAAGCCCAAATTAGCATAAACATGGTTGAATAGTAGCTGAAATAGCAGAAAAAGCTGAAACTAACAGAAATACGCAGGAGGCCCTCTTCAGTCTGGGACATGATGGTTCCCTGCATTCACTGCTGAGGACCACGCCCACACTCACTACAGATAGACTAATGGAGGTTAACTTAAACCCTCTTGCTGTTTTGCACTTCTTGTTTCCACAGGTCCTAAACAGACTTCTAGTGTCTCCCAGCACATGAACTCTGTCCCCGTCAGTTTCCACAGGGCTCCTCTAAATGTTCTTCACAGCAGTTGTGTTTCAAGTAGTTTCCATGTGGAACCAAGGTCTTAATTTGCTCGAACCACTCATGTTTCTGCACCTTAGCTCAGCTCTTTACTGGTAATTGTCCTTCGTCGTGGAGCGAAGAGGGGAATTAGAAATACCCTCCATCTGTCTGTGGAGGTTGTGAGCATGATAACTTCAAAACATAAGGCAGGTGCTGACTTCCATTTTGTGTGTGGCTGCATCTAATCAAAAAGAAAGTTTACTTTAGAAAATTGGGTTGCCACATGACATCACAATCCAAGATGGCCACCCCTATAATTTTAGAAAACTATACAGTTTAGTTTTTCTAAAAGTAGTGATTTGGGTGGCTGAAGATTAATCAGTGGGGGCCAAGGCCACCTTTGTCCACCCCCTGGTTCCTCCATTGCACCTGGTGGAAGATAAAATGTCTCCCTTCACTCTCCAGGCTCTGCTCTGCCTCAGACGAGGAAAAATAAAACCTCCCTCTGTTCTTCTCCACAGTGTAACTCCTGCCCACTTGAATATCTCGCACCAGAAACATTTAGGTTTACTTCATTCTCTGTTCAGTTCCAGTCCAGAAAAACACTCCTCTTCAAAGCTGGAAGCGTCCACTGTTCAAACTCCTGGACTTTACGTGACTCTTCATCAGACTCGGATCAAAGTTCTGTTGTTCACCTGGGCCCACCGGACTCCAGCAGCTCCTCCAGGCGTCCTCCTGACACAGACTCTGCTTCTGTCTCTCCTGCAGGGGCTGTGGGTTTGTTCAGTTCCCAGACGAGCGGCTTCAGAAGCGGGCTTTGGACGAGTGTCAGGGCGCTGTGGGACTGGGGAGCAAACCTCTGCGGTTAAGTTTGGCTGCTAACAAGTGAGTATTTCTGCGACTCGTCTCCATTTGGTGTTTGCATCGTGATGTTTGTTCAGAAGAAGCCAAGTGGTGAGCTGTGGGTTTCCTCTTCTCTCAAGTTTAAGGAACAAGCCCCAGCAACAGCAGTCGGAGAACAAACCGTCGTGGCAGTCCAGCTCAGCATACAAATACGGCTATGACCAGTATAACCAGTACCAGCACCAGAACTATCCTGGCTATTATCCTTCCTGGGGTTATGATCAGACTGCAGCGATGTATGGCTACAGCTATCCACAGTATGATTACTCCCAGTATGCTCAAACACAGGTAAACCTGCTGTGTAGCCGCTCACCAGCACCAAACAACCTTCATGCTAACAGCTTATGATTCTGTCGTTCTAGGAAAGTGAAGCAGTTCCAGAGGAAGAACCAGTTGAAGGCAAGTACTGGGACAGTGGTAAAGTACCGTATTTTCCGCCGTATCCGTCGCGCCGCCCTATAAGTCCCATCAGTCCAAATATGTCTAATAAAGTGGAAAAATCCATAAATACGTCGCATCTGTTACGCGTCACCGCTGACAACCTGGAAATGTGGGCCGGTGTTGTGCCAAACATCGATTGGCTGCCAAATGGTGGCCGCTGGAGCGTGCACGGGAGGACTTTAACAAGAATTTAACAAGACAAACACTTAGTTATTTGTTATTAGTTACACCACAGTTATTTTTTTGCTCGATGTTATAGTAAAGATGTCTCAGTTGAACTTTTACTTAATAAATTCACTTCAGTGGTCAAATCCGCTGCATTTCACCGGGGCGGTGCAGCTAAATGAGCCGATTGAAGGTGGCAGTTTATGGCAAGCCGACTGTGTCATTAATAGCCACTTTTACCTATTACATGATACAACGGCATGCCATACTACTCGAGTGCTCTCTAGCAGCTGAAAATGGTAGTGTTCAATATTTTCAGTCAGAATGAATGAAAACGGTCATATCTCAACAAAAAATTGATTAAATATGGAAAAAATCCATAAATATGTCGCTTTGACATAATAAGTTGCAGGACATGTAAATTATGCAAAATAACATGACTTATAGGGCGAAAAATATGGTAATTATAAAAACATGGTTGAAAATATGGAAAGACTGTTGGTGGGAAAAACAGAAAATGTATCAGATGAGTTTGTCTACTAAAAACTTCTCAAGTAAAATAATGTAGAAATAAAACTGATAAAATATAAAAGTCAAGTAGAAGGGGAGCTAACGAGAGGGTCTGCTGGAAACGCCCACCAGAAACACATTTTAAAATTAGTGTGACATGCTGCATTTGTGCATAATCTGAGTGGATTATCACAACATTAAATTCAGTCTTGTGTATTATACAGTAACTGTGATCCATGCTGTTGAACTGAGTCCAGATGAGCACAGGCTGCCGTGCAAACTGTTTATTTTTGCGTGGCTTTAAGATGTACATGGAAATTAATACGGAAACTGACATAATCTGTAATTTGCAAGTTTTCTTGCAGGTAAATTTTCAGAAATAATCCTTTTGATTCCCTTTGAAAGTGACCATTTTTCTCTGACGGCTGCTGTAGCGCAAAAAAATTATTTGTATGATTTAAAAAATATATATATATATAAACCTTAATTTAAGCAGGTACAGTGGTACTTGAAAGTTTGTGAAGCCTTTATAATTTTCTATAGTTATGCATAAATGGCAGTGCTAACCACTGACACGATGGCTCAGTGGTTAGCACTGTTGCCTCACGGAAAGAAGGTCCTAGGTTCAATCCCCAGTTGGAACTGGGGTCTTTCTGTGTGGAGTTTGCATGTTCTCTCCGTGCATGCATGGGTTTTCTCCGGGTACTCCAGTTTCCTCCCACAGACCAAAAATGTTAGTCTGCCTTCAGGACTCCCTTGCAGAAGAGACCTGTGATCTCAGTGGGATTTGTCTGGTTAAATAAAGGTTAATAAAATCAATCAATTAATAAATAAAATAAATTTGACCTAAAACATCATCAGATTTTCATAAAAGTCCTAAAAGTAGATAAAGAGAACCCAGTTAAACAATTGAGACAAAATATTCTTGGCTTGGAGGAACTTTAACCCATTCCTCTGCACAGAACAGCTTCAACTCTGGATGTTGGTGGTTTCCTCACATTAACTGCTGCTTCAGGTCCTTTCACAACATCTGGATTGGACTAAGGTCAGGACTTTGACTTGGCCATTCCAAAACATGAACTTTATTCTTCTTGAACATTCTTTGGCAGAACGACTCGTGTGCTGAGGATCATTGTTGCTGCATGACCCACCTTCTCCTGAGATTCAGTTCATGGACAGATGTTCTGACATTTTCCTTCAGAATTCTCTGATTTAATTCAGAATTCATTGTTCCATCAATGATGGCAAGCTGTCCTGGCCCAGACGCAGCAAAACAGGCCCAAACCATGACACTACCACCACCACGTTTCACAGATGGGATAAGGTTCTTATGCAGGAATGCAGAGTTTTCCTTTCTCCAAACATTAAACTTTTCATTTTAACCAAAAAGTTCTATTTTGTCTCATCCGTCCACAAAACATTCTTCCAACAGTCTCCTGGTTTGTCCTTGTGATCTTTATCAAACTGCAGATGAGTGTAGTGAACTAGGCCTCCGACCTCAACCTGTCTTTGAAGACCTTCAGGGGACATGAATGTTCTTTTTGGAGAGCAGTGGTTTCTCCTTCAACCCTGCCATGCAGCTTCAGGTTAGGTTTAGTTTATTTGTCATATGGAAAATAAACACATGGTCAACAGTGCAATGAAATGCCGAAGACGAGAAGAACCGTCTTGACTCTCCCAAAAAAAAAACTACAACAAAAATACAAAAACAAGGCGCCTAAAGTGAAAGAAATAAATCTACAGTTGTATGGTTCTGTTGTCAGACTGGTCCTGTTGGCACCATGGTACTGTTAGTGGCGTGGTCTTGTTAGCAGCATGATGATAACGACCGCAGCAGCTGTTCTCCCAGACTGCCCTCCAGAACCGGGTCCGGCAGACGGAGAACATAACCGAATGGGTCCGTAGAGTTGGGTCCGTGCAGGCAGGTGGAGGATCATGGAGACGGCCGCCATGGAAGGACTGAACCAGGATGGCAAGGCAGCGACACAGAAAACTTCACGTGTGTGTCGCGGTCATACCTGTACCATGGATGTGCAGTGTAGGCACAAAAAGAGTTCAAACAAAAATAACAGGAACAAAAGAAAAGATTAAGTCCAAGTGGAGCTCCTGTCAGTGCTGCCATTCTGCGGCGCTCGTGACGTCAAAGTCACACCATTGTTGTCCAGCGTTCTCCTGATGCTGGACTCATGAACATGAGTCAACGTGAGAGAGACCTTCAGTTACTAGAAGTTACTCTGGCCTCCTTTGTGACCTCACAGACTGTTCCAGTCCTTCTTCTTGTAGTGATCTTTGTTGGTCCACCACTCCTGGGGAGGGTAACAATGGTCTTGATGTTTCTCCTGGAGTCCAAACTCTTTACAGATGTTTTGTAACATTTTCCAGCCTGATGAGCATCAACAACTCTTTCTGAGCTCCTCAGAAATCTCCTTTGTTCCACAAACATGTTGTGAAGATCAGACTTTCTTCTTCTTCTTTTAGTTTATTGGTGGATTGCAAGCAACGTTCAGGTGCATACCGCCACCTACTGAGCAAGAGTGCGTAGCTTCCCTAGTTTCTATTTTTAATATTTATGTTCTGTAAATATATAAACAACTCTTTTCTAACACTTATTTTATCCTTCTCCCCTTCTGTTCCTAATATTCCTCCTAAACTCCACACTCTCACTGCCTCTTTGACTTTTTATTTCAATCTCTCCCTTCTGTATATTTAATGCACTCCATCAGAACATGTTCCACACTTTCTGTTTCCCCACATTCCTCACATCTACTGTTGTTCCTTTTCCCCATCATATACTTTGTATCATTTAGAAGTGTATGTCCAACCTTCATTCTCATTACTATCACCTCTTCTCTTCTACTTCTTTCTTTATAATTACTTATCTTAACTGCTTTTTGAATTTTATATAATCTTCCTTTCTTGTCCTCATTCCACGTTTTCTGCCATTTCTCTATTTCTCTATTTCTTTAATTAATGATTTACCCTCTCCTTTCCCTAATGGAATATTTACTGTTATTTCACCTTTTAATGCTTTTTAGCGAGTTTATCTGCTCTTTCATTTCCTTCCACCCCCTCACGTGCTGGCACCCAACAATAATGAACATCTATGCCTCCCCTGTGTAACCTGAATAATGTGAGTTGTATTTCTAGCAGTAGATCGTTCCTGTTGTTTCCTTTAGACTGTAAGCTTTCTATGACAGCCTTTGAGTCTGTACGTATCACCACCCTGTCCGGTCTAACTTCCTCTATCCACTGTAGACTAAATATGACTGCCACCATTTCTGCTGTGAAAACTGAAAGATGATTAGAAATTATTTTAGATGTACAAACTTCAAACTCTGGTATATAACCCGTATTCCTACCCACCCCTTTGTGTTTGTTGAGCCATCTGTATATATTTCCAGGTAATTAAAATATGTATCTCTAATGCATTTGCTGGTTTTCACCCCCATTTCATTTTTGTTCCATTCTCTTTTCATTTCAAGAATTTGTGTGTCTACTTTACTTTCTGGGATCAACCATAGAGAGCTAACACCATTTGGATTAATCTGTGCAAAATCTTTATTTTCTATTCCATATAATCCAGCTAATTTGTTTATTTTTCCACCCAAAACCATTTCTTTGATATTTGATATATTCCCAACAGTTCTGGATTGTTGTTGCTGCAGGATTTGCTTCTTTACTTCTTTTGAGTTTCACCCAGTATGTTAATGAAAGTGTTGTTCTTCTCATTTCTAACGGTGTCTTACCAGTTTCTATAAGAAGTGCATTAATGGGGGTTGTCTTTATTGCTCCTGTGCACACCCGTAATGCTCTGGATTGAAGTCTATTTAATTTTTGTAGAGTTGAATTTGCTGCTGCTCCATACACTTTGCATCCATAGTCCAAAGTTGATCTCATAAGAGCTCTAGATATTTAATAATAATTGTTTATCTGCTCCCCAGTTGTTTCCTGCCACTGCTTTCGTTAGATTAATGACTTTCTTACACTTTGTATCCACCTGTTTTAAATGTGTTTGCCATGTGTATGAACTATCTAACCATATACCTAGATATTTAAATTCATTAACAATTTTTAAAGGTTGTCCATATAATATAAGATTTCCAATATTTATCTTCTCTTTGTTTGTAATCATCATGTAGCTGGTTTTGCTTACAGACAGTTTGAAACCCCATTCATAAGACCAGCTCTCTATTTGATTAATTGCTTTTCTTATGTTTTTAACGACATGTGGCACATTTCTCCCCCTCATCCATATTGCTCCATCATCTGCATATAAAGCAGATTTGATGCCTCTGTCAAGCTTTGCAAATATGTCGTTAATCATCCATCCATCCATTATCTTTACCCGTTTATTCCATTTTGGGTCACGGGGGTCGCCGGTGCCCATGTCCAGCAATCACTGTGCGAGGGGCGGGGGACACCCTGGACGGGTCGCAAGTCCATCACAGGGACACATAGAGACAAACGAGACAAACAACCATTCACTCTCTCACTCACACCTAGGGACAATTTAGAGTTACCAATCAGCCTAACATGCATGTTTTTGGTCTGTGGGAGGAAACCGGAGTACCCGGAGAAAACCCACGCATGCACAGAGAGAACATGCAAACTCCACCCAGAAAGGCCCCTGGACCGGGGTTTGAACCAAGGACCTGCTCGCTGAGAGGCAGAGCTCTACCAGTTGCGCCACCGTGCTGCCCTTGTCATTAATCATAATATTGAATAAAACTGGACTAATTACACTGCCTTGAGGGGTGCCGTTTTCCACTTTGAATTGTCTTGATAATTCACTCCCAACTTTTACTTTAATTGTCCTATCCTGAAAGAAGCTGGCAATCCAGTTATACATCCTCCCATCTATTCCCATTTGTTCTAGTTTTATTAGCAGCTGCTCCCTCCACAGAATCATAAGCTTTTTCTATGTCCAAGAATACTATAATCATCATTTCTTTCATTTTCAGTGTTTTTTCAGTAACATTACATACTCTTACTAGAGCATCTACTGTGGACCGACCAGTTCTAAAAGCACATTGATAATTACTAATAAGTTCTCTTTTTTTCTAGGACGTATATTAATCTGTTAACTCTTGTTTCTTTCTTTAATTACTTTACTACATTCATCATTCCACCATGGAACCACTTTTGATTTTCTTTTTATTACTACTTTTGGAATGCTTGAGTTTGCTGCATTTAAAATGAGTTCTGTTACCTGATTATTGCATTCATCAATGTTTCCTTTAAGATTTACTAAATTACTATTTTTCTCACAATACATTTTTAAAGTTTCCCAGTTCACTTTCTTAAAGCACCATCTGGTTGAGGTTGTTTCCTCTTTATTGGTTATATTGTCATTTATAAATGTGCTAACAGGAAAGTGGTCACTCCCCAGTGTAGTATCTCCATTTATACTCCATTCACAGGATTTTGCAAGTTTATCTGATACTAAAGTTAAATCTAAACATGAGACTGAACCTTTATTGATATTAAATCGTGTGTCTTGACCATCATTAAGACAAGCCAGTGATCTTTCATCCATTTCTTCAACATTGTTGCCGTTACTGTCTGTTTTGCTGCTACCCCATAGACTATTGTGTGCATTAAAGTCTCTACACCAGATTTCTCTCCCGTTTATACCTCCATATTTCCATAAATACATCATTATCTAGGTTTTTACATGGGTTATAAAAATTAATTATCTTAACATGTCCAATTATTTTTAAGTTGTAAATTTCAATGCTAACACATTCATATTCTGTTGAGTTGTAAATTTCCTTATATGCTATTCCATCCTTAATAAATGTTGCACACCCTCCTCCACTACTTCCAGTACTTCTGTCTTTTCTTATTGTACTATATCCATGAATTTTAAAGTCTAAATGGGGTTTTAACCATGTTTCCTGTACACAGATTATATCTGGTATTATTTCTAACTGGTATATGTATTTTTTAAGTTCTTGTCCATTAGCTATCAAACTCCTAGCATTCCATAGTAAAATATGAAAACCATTCCTAATCCTTTCCTTGACCTTTTCCTGTTGGTTCAACTGGTTTTAGTAGAGTGTGGATCTGATCTGCTTGGATTTCTTTCATATCCAGAAACTTTCCTGCTGCTTCCACTATTGCTTTTATTTTATCACTTTTCTTTGTCATTTGTATTGTTACATTAACAATATGACAGATGAATGCCACAAACTTGTCCTTTTCCACTATCATTGATTTTTCATTGAGTTTACATTTGTGATTGCATGTGGCATGTTCTGCTGCTGGTGGTACCAGTGATTGCCTCTGGTTCCTCTGAGTATCATTTACACTTTGCACCTGTCTCTGGATAGTTTCTTCATTCCTCACTTCTTTTGTATTAACTTTCTTCACCCTCTTCAGTGCTCCAGCATATGAAACTCCCTCTGTAATTTTAATTCTTTGGGCTTCTCTGGCTTCTCTCTGAACTATACACCCTCCATATGCTGCACTGTGCTCTCCTCCACAGTTGCAGCATTTTACCTTCGAGTCATTCTCACACTTCCCATACTCATGAGGACCTCCACATCTTGCACATCTCACTTTCCCTTTACACTCCTTTGCTATGTGCCCCATTCTTTGACATATGAAGCATCTGATGGGGTTTGGTATGTATTCTCTTACTCTATAATTTACATATCCCATCTGCACACATTCTGGCATTGTGATCTCAGACTTTAGAGTAATAGACATTGTTTCTTTGATTAGTCCATCTTTTTACTTGTAATCCTTTTTGCTTTTGTCACTTTGCCTCCTCTGATTTCTTGTTTTATTTCCTCGGGTGTCATTTCTACTGGAACTCCTGAAATTACTCCTCGTAACCCGTTTAAAGAACCTGGAATAAATACTTTAACTCTTTCTCCCACTAGACTAGTCATTTTTAAGATTTTGTCCTGCTGTTTGTTGACTGCATGTATAAGAAATTCTTTTGTTGTTCATGAGTCTGGTTAATTTTATTTTCCCAATTTCCTCCTCTATTGCCTTTGTTAGTTTTATTGGATGAAAGTATCGTCCCTCTTGATTAAACTCCACCATTACTTCCATTCTTCTTCCCTAATTAGTTCCACCTGCGTTTGATTTCTCGGACTTGTACTGATTTTTGACTTTTATGTTTATTCGTGACTCCCTTTCTTCTGACAAGCTTCTGTCTCTTTCGGGTTTTTTTTTTCTTTGTGCCGTTTTCATTTTTGACGATTTTGCCGTCATCCATTCCATCTCAATCTCACTATTTCCCCCTGAAGAGGAGGCCATAATGCTACAGTCAGAGCTCAGTTTATGCAATCCGACCAAATTTCAGCTCCTACCGCCCTTGAAAAGTTTGTCCAGCTCCCAAGTTAGCTTCTCCTCCGGCAGTCGTCATCTTCTTCCCTGAGTCAAGGGCCCTCCGCCTAAGATCAGACTTTGATAGATCCTGTTCTTTAAATCAAACAGGGTGTCCACTCACACCTGATCATCATCACATTGATTGAAAACACCTGACTCTAATTTCACCTTCAGATTAATTGATAATCCCAGAGGTTCACAAACTTTTACTACTTACAAATATGTGATATTGGATCATTTTCATCAATAAATAAATGACCAAGTATAATATTTTTGTCTCATTTGTTTAACTGGGTTCTCTTTATCTACTTTTAGGACATGTGTGAAATCTTTTGATGTTTTAGGTCAGATTGATGCAGAAATACAGAAACTACTACAGTATAGTAATTAGGGAGTTGATTTCTTGTGAGTAAACTCGTATAGTTGCGTGTTCTTTCATACGCTTGGTTTGTTCTGTTGTCTGGTTGCAGATCCTGGCCTGGGACTGGACGTGCTGGAAACTAACAGGAAGTTCATGGAGCTCAGTGAGGAGCTGTACGACGCTCTCATCGAGTGCCACTGGCAGCCTCCAGTGATGTCTGCAGAGCAGGAATACGTCATTTCCTTGTTGCCCGAGCCCATTTACTGCTGAAAGATGCTTCCTTTGGCTCGTTTTTTTTTATTGTTAGAAACTGATGGACGATATTTTTATTCGAGTTTGTAAACTGGTGAAAGTTTAAAGAAATAAAATTATATATTGAACCCATCAGTGAATATTTACTGGCAACACTGATTCAATCATTTAAAAGCATGCCCAAATAATATTTTAGTTTCTTGTCTGTTTGACAGACTTTTGCAAGATTATTATGATAGTCGAGGTATAGAAGTAACTGATAATATTTTCATTAATATAATCAGACAACAGTTTGTGATTCTGGAAGCTTTGTGGGGCCAAATGAATTCTTTAAGATGGGCTATGGGATGCGTGATGAATATTAATTAAAAAGAAGAAGGCAAGAAAAACTCACAAAAGTTGCTGAAATAACTTCAATTTAGTTTATTTATATAGCGCCAAATCACAACAAAGTTGTCTCAGGACACTGAACAGGAACATTCACAAATATAAAAGCCAATTAGTAAAGTTCTCTATCTAAGGAATCCAGCAGACAAGTTGAATCTTGGCTTCATTGCAGTCTCCCATCCTGAGCAAGCACAGTGGCAACAGTGGAAAGAAAGAACTCCCTTTTAAAAGGAAGAAACCTCCAGCAGAACCAGGCTCAGGACAAGTGGCCATCTGCTTTGACCGGCTGGTTGAGAGGACGGGAAGGAGAGACAGACGGACACAAAATGGTAGGTCCAGGTGTATCTGAAAGACAAAAAAAAAAACACGTTAAGGATAGAAAGAATAATTACAAATGTTGAGCAGAGTAAGTAAAGACAGTAGCAGAGTGAAAAGTGGTCAATTTGTCCTCCAGCAGTCTAAGCCTATAGCAGCATAACTAAGGGACAGCTCAGGAAACCCAAGCCGACCCTAACTATAGGATTTATCATAAAGGAAAATCTTAAGCCGAGTTTTAAAACTGGATAATGTGTCAGCCTCACGGACAGAGATTGGAAGTTGGTTCCACAAGAGAGGAGCCTGATAACTGAAAGATCTGCCTCCCATTCTGTTTTTGTAAATTCTAGGAACCACAAGTAAACCTGGAGCCTGAGAGCGAAGTGCTCTGTTAGGAAAATATGGAACAATAAGATCTGTAATATAAGATGGAGCTAGGTTGTTGAGAGCTTTGTAGGTTAGAAGTAAGATTTTGAATTCAATTCTGGATTTGACAGGGAGCGAATGGAGAGAAGCTAAAACTGGAGAAATATGATCTCTCCCACTAACTCTAGCGAAGACTCTGGCAGCAGCATTTTGGATCAACTGAAGACGTTTTAAAGAAGTATTTGGACACCCAGATAATAAACCATTGCAATAGGCCAGTCTAGATGTGACAAATGCATGGACCAGTTTTACTGCATCATTTTTAGATAAGATGTCTCTAATTTTAGTGATATTACGCAGGTGGAAGAAGGCAGTTCTAGTAACGTTTTTAATGTGGGGGATAAAAGACATGTCCTGATCAAAAATAACACCA